GCTGTCGCACGCGCGGGAGCCGAACACCCCCTCCCCCACCCCCCCCCCCGCCCGCCACGACCGGGTTCCGGTCGAGCCGTTCTTCGACTCGGCCGAGTCTATCATCGTCAAGTCCGCCTCCTCTGTCGACTCCCTCAATTTCCTACTCCCAAACGGCGCCGTTCCGTCTCACACTAAAGACGATGAAAATGACGAGGCGTCGACCTGGCTTATCCCGAACTTGAATTTCAACTCGAAGCTCCAGATGGATATTGCTCCGGATATCATCAAGTCCTCCGAGTTGTTCCTCCCCGAAATGGACTCGTTGCTGGAGTTCGATTACCCGAACCCGATCCACCACGATATTTCGGGTTCGGGTACGGACAGTGTTGTTCCCGTTCAACCCGACCCGTTACCGCCCCCTTCACTCAACATCAACCGCGTCTCTGCCGAGCAAAATTGCTTCGACCTTGATTTTTGCAGAAGCAAGCTTTCTTCTTCCTTCAGCTATCCAACTCAGTCGCTCAGCCATAGCGTACGTATTTAAATTAAATTAAATATATAAATTTCCGAAATTTCGGAGATTTGTACTGATTTTTTGGGCTTTTTCTTTGTTGTTTCCAGGTTTCCTCGTCGTCCATGGAAGTTGGAGTTGTTCCTGATGGAAACTCCATCTCCGATATATCGTATCCTTTCGGCCGAAACGCGAGCCTTACCGTTTCGGATCCCAGCGCACAGTTCTCGGCGACCACCGCGAACCAAGTGGCCACACAGCTCAGCGGACTCGATCGGGAGGCTAGGGTTTTGAGGTACAGAGAGAAGAGGAAGAACCGAAAGTTCCAGAAAACCATCCGGTACGCTTCGCGGAAAGCGTATGCCGAAACTCGCCCGAGAATCAAAGGCCGGTTCGCGAAACGCACTGAAACCGAAATCGAGGCCGTCGATAACATCTACGGCTCGGCTCAGGGGGCCTTTATTCCCGAGACATACGGCGTCGTTCCGACGTTCTGATAATGATCCTCTGCTCGATCGGCATAATTTAATTTCTACGGTCTAGCAGTGATTAGTTGGTGATGTCAATTGTAAATCAGTGTCTATCCGATAATTTTGATCGGTGGCTTATGAGCCGTTGAATTTGCATGAGCATGATGCTGCGCTTTTGCAACTGAATATTACCCGCTCAGCACCCAAAAGCCCGTTTACCTTTTCGTTATCTTTTAAATTTCACAGGGGCTTTTTAGAAGTCTCTTTTCATGCAAGTAAACCCTTCTTTCTTTTTCACCAAAAGAAAAGTGAAAATAAAATGAAAATAAAAAAGATCATGGATCTGTTTCTGAATTCTGATTGTTTGACAAGAGCAAGTAATGTGGTTATTGTTGACCAAAAAAAAAAAAAAAAAAAAGTAATTGGGTTATTGTTTACGTGAATAATATATGACCTACTAAATTTCTTTTTGGTTTTTCTATATATTGTTATGGCAACTTAAGGATAATTACTATTCAATCATAAGGTATAGTGCGGTTGGCAAACTGTCATCTCTAGTTGGCGAGTTACTTAGTGTTTCAATAATAGGGGTTTGAAACCCGTTGGAAGCACTTTATGGCCAGAGGTAAGCTGAACCCCAAGCGGGGATTAATTCCACCATTCAGGTGTGGAGACACCTGATAGTATTTACCCCCCCCCCCCCAAAAGGACAATTACTATTTATATGAGATTAATTTTATTTATATGTATGAGATTAATAAATAAAAAAATCTGAATTTTTTGGTATTTTTCTTTTTTTTTTCTAATTTTTACTTGGCTGAGGTCAGTTCAGGCTAATCATGCCTTCGAGCATGCCCAGTCTTAGTAGAGCCCACCTCCTGCCAAAGCTGGATTTTCTTGGAGGGATGTGTTTTGGTAGCCCAGGGGACCTTTTGCCATGAGAAAAGGAACTGCTAGAACTACTCTTAAAGAGGCAGGGCTAGTCCTGAATTTTTCAAGGCTAGGAGCAAATGTAAAAAATTAGGCCCCTATATATATAAATTTTTTTTTCCACTTAAGTGCTAAACTCACTCTCATTTTTCAATTAAGATTTAACTTGTTTGAATTAACTAAAAATTTAACATTCAATGCAAATAAATTGTATCAATTCAAATTTCAATATATAAAAATCTAAAATAATAGGCTACGCTTGATACATTCAAATCTAATGCATAAACAAAATAAATATTTGTAACAATTTAATCATTTCTTTTTCTTTTTTGACTTCTAGATTGTTATTTTTTCAGAAATCATTTCTACTTAAAATTATAAATAGTACAAGGAAATCCAATGAAATTTAATACTTCATATAATAAACAAAGAACAACATAATTTGGAATTTGAGAAATCCCCCTCCACAATAGCAAACTTAAAACTTCCAAATTTGCAATCAATACGATTGCCCTGGGCCCACTACTTTTTTTAAAATATAAAAATAATCTATATATATAAAGCAAAAGGCAGAGAAAATTAAAATTAAAAATAAAATCAGATAATATGTCATACTTTTATGGAACATAATTACCCATGTTATCTTTTCTTAATTTTAAAAATAAAACAGAAAATAAAAAATAAAACCAATTGGCACATGCGTGAGAATGTGCCAAGGGTCTAGTATATAATAAATATAATATACCTCTTTATAAAAAAAAAATTTGGGCCCCTGGATAGTGGGCCCAGGGCAATCGTATTGCATGCCCCTGTCCAGACCGTAACTATAAGTAGGAAAAATGGAAATGAGTTTTATAAGTATCATAAGTTACCCAAAATTTCGAAAGAAGAATGTCAAATAGATTGTATTTCTTACAAAATTAGCCAAATGTAGTTGATGATTACATCAATTGCAATTTCTTCTTTTTTTGGTGAGTAGCAATATGAGTTTAGACATCTTCCAACAACGGAGACAAAAATACTACTAAGCATGCATGAATCTAGGATTCAAAAATAATTTGGGCTAACTTTTAAAATAATTTGTTTTATGAAATTTCCAAAGTTGTATATAAACTTGTTAAACACTTATATTATTTACTAGATATTAATACACATAAAGTCCCAACATTTACTCAAACAAATCACAACCAGCTATCGACCATAAAATTAGCTACTAATAATTTAATAACATAACCTCTACACACACCAAAAAAAAATAAAAAAAATAAAAAAATTAGCCCATAATTCTCTAGATTACAGATTAATTGGAAAAAAAAAAGCCCTTAATTTCTAAATCCCTAAATCAAATAAAAAATAGACAATCTTTGAAATAAATTACAATAAAAGGAAGAGTAGTAGAATAAGAAAAAAAAAAAAAAAGGTGTAGGCGACTCACATGTGGAGTGGAGGAGAGGGAGTAGAGGGAGAATTTCACAGACTGAGAGATGAGAGAATCTTTAGGGGTTGAATTCAATTAGGATTTTAGAGAGTTTAAAAAGATTTTTAAAATTCAGGTGTATTTAATTTGGATTTATATGAACTTTAAAAGAATTTCTACAAGTCTAGGTGTATTTAATTCAGACTTGTATTAACTTTTAAAAAGTCCATACAAATATGGGTGTATTCAATTAGAATTATAAAAAAAGTTATGTGTATTAAAAAATTTCATATATTTGGAAGGATTTCATTGAGCGATAAATTTTGGTAGGTTTTTAGGTGAGAGGTATATATAACAAAGACCATAATAAATCCAACATTCCCCTCCCCCAAAAAAAAGATTTCATCAAATGCTCTCTGCATATGCCCTAGTTTTCTCTTTGTATAAGACAAACAGTTTCCTCCATCTGTGAAGGTACGCTCCCTATCTTTTCTTTGATCAAAACCTCGTTGGGTTTTCTTTTTCCATGATTTTTCTTGTTATTAGGGTATAGTTTAGGGTTATAGATTTTACTTGTTATTAGGGTTTAGCTTGGGGTTAGGATTTATGCTTGTTTTTCTTCTCAAATATCTATATACAACTTTATAAGAATTGTTTGTTGAATCATTGGATAGGAAACTGAAATATAGTAACTAACAGCCTTTCTATAATCGAACAAAAAAACTGAGACAAACTAAGACAATATAGTTTTTCTTCTAAATTTGTTTGTGAGCGTATGCAGTCGAATGCTATTGTTGATATTCATTGACGCAACACAAGCAAACAGGTTAACCTAGGAAAGAACATAAACCTGGAATCCACGAGAAAATTCTCACTATTTGTATTATTTGATAAAAGATCTATTGAGAACAACCATACACGAAGTCTGTCTAAATATATCAATCTCACCCATTGGACTACCTTGGGGAGTTATTGAAAATAAACATTAAATAAACGAAAAGTCAAAAATTAACTACAATTTTTAAATGCTCTTTTGGAAGCTCAAACGAGCTCAAAAGCCCAAAATCCACCTTATATCACGGCAAAGGTATCATGTGAACCGATTGAAGCTCGGACGCCAAATCTGTAAATTCCTATTGCATCATTTTTCCATTCTTCGCTCCAATTCTTCTTCAATCCATTAAGTCATTTGTAATACACCATTCATGTGTGTATTCAGTTGTGTGGGGGAAAAACTGAGACAAATATAAAGGTATCCGATAATGAATAGTTAAAGGATACATTAGAAAAAACTTTGCAGTGGAATGCTATTGGATGCTACAACGTAAGCCAACATAAGATGTGTCTGTTGGGATCTATGGTTGCTGATGTACATTTTTTAGTACATTAGTTATAGATTTTACTTTCCCTTCAACTAATTAAGGCATCTAATAGTGAATAGTTAATGGGTAAAATGTTAATTGAACAAATATAATTATCTTTCCAAAACTCAAAGCAAACTTTTTTCTTTGGATAAGAAAAGGAAACTTGGCATTGTTTTGATAATTATCTTTCAACGTTTGTAGTGTTTTATGGGTTTTATATATTTTTTAATGCTTTATTTGTGATTGATATGATAAAAATTCATAGCTGCCCCACTCAAACGGAGTCTAAAAATACACAACAAGTAAATGGAAAAAGGAAGAGCAAACAAGATTATAACGCTTAGAGTGTGGAAGAGAGTAGAATGTCGTTGGAACTCATGGTTGATACTGCATCTCGTGGTGATGCTAATGGAATGCTAAGCAAGGCAACTGTAGAAACCAAAATACTCCCCAAGATTAATGAAAAACTTAGGTGTCACAAAACCTTTTCTCAATACCAGAGTCGCTTGAAATACTTTAAAAGAGAATACTAAAAATATTCACAGCTTATCCGTCACAACTCTGGGTTTGGGTGGGATTCAACCACAAAGAAATTCATTGCTCCTGAAGAATTTTGGAAAGACTACTTAAATGTTAGGTTATTAAATTTTCTTTAAATAATTATGTATGGTAACTCGAATACATAATTCTATTAAATAATAATTTTTATTATTTTTGTTATAGTCCCACCCAAAAGACACAAGTATTCAAACAAAAACTTGTGAGGACTATGTGGATATGCAAATTGTAATTAAGAATGCAACTGCTATTGGAAGAAACTCATTAGGATTGGGTGATGATACTGATGCAAGAACTTTTACTAATGAATGGAGTGTAGATATGAAGAATTTTCTGTTGAATTGGAGAACAAATCTTCTTCATCTTCATCGTTATCGGTTAATGATGTGAATTTCTTATGAATTTTGCTTTTTGTTAATCATTCATCATTACTATGTTTGACCAAACTATCTGGTCAGAAATCACTAGGGGAGAGAGTTTATGTATTTGAAGTCTTTAGTAACCACAAGAAAAAAAAAAAAAACAGAAAAAGAAAGATCCGAAGTTTTTTCTGAAATCATATAGCTATTGCATCATACTTTTTATACAAAGTGTCAAATGAGAGAGCAATCAAAAACAAATGTCCTAAAGAAATAGAGCACCACTTACTGCTCGACGGAAAGCAAACATCTCTCCTTGGCTTTTTGATTGTTTGGGTAAGGATGCCAAAGTTAGCATTTAAGAAATTATGAAAATCTAGAATAAAAGAGCCATACAAATCTTATAATAAAATTATATAGAACTCTTCTCAAGTCTATGTGAAATCTAAAAGTTTGATAGAGTTCTATGAAATTTGGCACTTCAAATTTGGGCCACCTTCTTTTGTCAGAAGAGCTGGGCTACCTACATATTAAAAGATATCTTAAAATTTAAGTTGGGCTCGTGTCTGCTATTAAATACATATCTACCTAAAATGTTATCAATCGTAATATCTAATTCTTAACACGAAACCTAAGAGAATTAAGTTCCTAAACAACATTAGCGTATCACATTATTTTGTAAATAATGCAAAACCAACTAGTCATAATAATTTATGTGATAAGTAG